TCCAGAAGATGTGAAGCTTTAACTTTGAAAATTCCAAGTGCCGCATGTTTTATAACAGAAGCTTAAAGACTAATATGGATAAAACAGATCAGCTTTGCTGTACTTGGTTTAGCCTTCATGTCTTTCATGTCTTGTTGAAAGTTGTAATTCTCTCTCACTCTTGCTGCCTAAATCAACCGTTTGCATGTTAGCATTAGCTTTGTACTCAGTTACTCTGTTTGGAAAAATAAGACTGGATTTTTTAATTTGTTTTGAAGGGCAAGTCACCAGTCAGAGTCAATTAAACAGAAAATCATCCTATTTCAGTCCACTGTAGAATTTCCTATGCATTCCTTGAAGTACATTTTCAGTGTGAAAATTACTGTACTTTGAGAGGACTCCCTTCAGCAGTGTAAATCCACCAGAGCATATGACATGGTTTTCCTTCTTTAGATTTTAGTTTGCTTTGCAGAATACTAATTTAGATTTTTCGATCATGATTCAATATCATTTCAAATGTGTATTGAGTTTCAGGGCCTAATTTCACCTCAAGATCAAAACTGTACTAACCCACAAGGTGAACTTTTTAGTAGGGATCTGGAGTAATCCGTGTATTAGAAAAAAAAGAAATGATTTCGACCTTGAACTTTGTTTTGGAAAGTCAATTTTTATTATAGCATCATCATATTTGACATAATGTTTATTTACATTATTTTGTTTAAAACACACAGATTTCTTTTATATGAAAAACATAAATGGTTAAAAAAACATTGAATAATTACATTTGGGATTGGTTCATTTTAGATGTTTTGCATATGATAATTTCAAAGGTCTTACATGTTAAATTATGGACAAAACCACTCATAATTTACACAGCCAGAAAAAAATCTTACATGCAACTAAAAGAGCAACAACATTTTACAGGTCACCATTGTTTTCAGTTCTATAAAATAAACTTTTGCTCATAGTATTATATCAGGGTTGAAAAGTGCAAACATAATAAACCACAAGCATTTTAATTGAAAAAACATGACGCTTCCCATGAAATACCTTCTCCAAACAAGAGTGAAATGAAAACAACCTTTTCATACACAGTAATAAAAACACTGTGTTTTTATTATGGATTCATAAAAACAATAAACTACGGATTTATTATGGATCATTCACATCAGGTTTCTGATTGTTTTTCCGCACAATGTAGGTTTAGATTTCTGCCTTGTTAAATTTGTGACTTTGACCAAGATAAGTAAATAAAAGGACTCCAGGATCTGAGTGAAATTCAGGAAGATATTCTGCTCTTGAAGACACTCAGAAAGGTTCTGCGTATTTCACCGGTATAGAGGCCATACACAATAGGGTTAATAAGTGGAGGTAAAATAAACATTAGCATCCCCATTACCTTTTGTAAGTCAGGGGAAATATTTTGGAACCTATGTGATAAAACAGTGAAAGTTCCTGCAATCTCAAACATGACAAGAATAACCACCTGTGCAACACACGTGTTCACTGCTTTCGCCTTTGCATCAGATTGCTTCCGACTCAAACATGCAACCAGAATTTTAAAGTAAGAATAGGCCTGAATAGACATACTTAAAACTTGTATGAAAACTGTGATAAATAGTCCAATTATGTTGTTGAGAATTAAGTTCCCACACGTGAGCTTCAGGAGAGACTGGTTGTCACAAAATACGCTCAGTATTACAGATCTGCACCTGGGCAGCCCTGACTGGAGAGAAAATAGTGACAGGATACAGACAAAGTCAGAACTCCAAACAAGGAAAATAATAAGAGCAACAATCCTTGGAGTCATGACAGAGCTGTAGCGTAATGGCATACAGATGGCAATGTAACGATCAAACGCCATTGCTGCAAGAACAAACAGAATTCCACCGGCGCTCATGTGCAGAAGAAAAGCTTGTAGAACACAGAGCGGATAGGAAACTTCCTGAGTCTCTGTAACAATATTTGAAAGTATTTTTGGAAGCATGGCAGTTATTCCTATCAGATCATTCACCGGCAGACTAATCAGGATGAAATACATGGGCTTGTGAAGGTTTTTCTTCAGAATAATCAAAGATATCAGAGTCAGGTTGCATGACATTCCAAACAAGTAAACGGCTAGACCAAACAGAAATATTGGATACTTTCCTCCAGGTGGAATAAAAAACGTCTCCAGTGTTAGTGGAGAATTGATTCCAAATGAGCTGTTTTCCATTTTAATAAGATTGATCAAGATAGAAGACAATCGTTTATACCCATTATTTGAAATCAAGCCAGAATTTGGAGAAGTAACAGTTGACACACTTCATGTTTCACTAAATGGCAGGTTGGTCTGGTGATGACTGCCGTGCATCGCTTTTTATTGTTTCTCACTTCCTCGTTTCCATCACTATTTACCTCAGGGATTATCAGTGGCTTTGCAGGATTTAGATCAGCACTTCTCCAACTTTTTAGAACAAGGATTACCTCAGCAAACATCTTTTCATGTATCTTCAGTCTGGTAGACATTTTTTAAACAGAAGAAGCACATATCTACATCGGTTCTACATAGGATGTAGTTTATGCTTAAATGTCCCAAGTTTCTTCAGAACCGATCTTCTGAAGTCAGAGTTGCAAGCGGGAAACTTCAAAGTTAAACCTGACTGCCCTGCAGACAGAAAGCTGCTTGTAGACCAAACAAACAAATCTGACAATTTCTTCTCCTTTCCACCAGTATGAACTCAGCATGACTCTGAATTGTCCAATTCACAACAAATGTCATCTTGAGGGACTTGACAATAAATGTAATTTCAGTTCAAACACATATACATTCCAATTAATCCTAGTTATCAACTAGTGCATTAAGAAAATTAAAATTAGTTTAAAAAGCTTTCTAACGAACCCCTGCAGATTGCAGCATTCACTCCTTCTGGACCACCATGTATTTCTTGCCCTGTCTTTTACTTTACAGCAGATTATTGCAGCGTCCGAAGTGAGGCCCTCTAAAGGATTATGAGTGGCCCTCAATTCTAGAAAGATGCAAATCTGACCTGCAAGCACAAGTGTTTGATTCAGATGGACACTTTTTTTTCATCTTTTCACAGACAACTAAAACTTTCTTAAAACAACAACATTTTAGGTACAGCAAAAAGCATTTCTCATTTGTTAACCAGGCTTCTGCATCCATCTTAATTTTGTTGTTATTGGAAGTATAAAAATTCAGCAACCTTTACACTTTTACACAGAAGCACCCCTGAATGCATCCGGGCCTACTGATTAATACAGCAAGCGTTGCTGAAAAAATTGTAGTCCACACCACACTCAGAAAATCAGAAAATGTCTGTCTACTAATAAAAACAGATGTTAGACTTTTTATATGCTTTCACATATAAAAAGTGATTTACAGATTTTCTCTCTTCTACAAAATCTGTTTTTGTTCATTTAAATAAAATGCCGTATGTTTAGTTTACTATTGCACAAAGTAAAACAAATACACAATAAATTTATTTGCCAACTTAAAAAAGTGACATCCAAGTGCTTTCAACTAGACAGTTTTGGCCTTCAGGGCAAAACGTTTGGACACTTCTACTGTACAGAAATTACAGCGTTTTGGAACCTGAGATCTTCCTGCTGTAAAGCTACATTGGTGACTGCAACTCTATGTTATGTTTTTTAATTGTGGTTTATGAAAAACATTTGATGTGAGCAAACTATTAGACATCTGTGACATAACGCTCTTCAATATGGAAAAATTGCATCAATTGGTTGTTTCATTTTGCTGTCAAAACACTCTTAATAATGAGGCCCTTTGAGATGTGATTAAATTATTGTTATTAACTGTCTCACAAAATAATTAATCCCTGGACAAATGCTAACCACCTCGTACCTCCATCTAATGTAAATCTTATTTCCCACTAAGGGATGTTGTCCAACCACTCTCTTGGGAGGCGACAAGTAAATCAGTTGTTAAGTTGGCAAATGAGGCAACTTTGAAAACTTCCTAGTGTGTCGTTTACTAAATGAAATGAGCAACAGTGGTTACAAAATAAGCAAAAATGTCTCATTAATAAGACCATTGATGTCGTTTTGTTCCAGCAGCATATTTAATTGAAACAGAGCACTGCTGTGGTCATCTTAGTCCACGGGGAACAGAGACCACAAAAGCACAGTTGGGACATCGGGAAAAGCTAATCATTTTACCCCAGAGAAACTAACTTTATTAAACTGATGATGATTTCATGGTCATGCTGATCTTTTACTCATTTTGTTGTATCTTTCTTAGTTTACTGCATATGAATCATTTTATCACTTGTGTCCTATCAAATTTCAGAGCATGTTTTTTTGTTGTTTGTGAGTTTTATGTGAGCACCCGGTGTGTTTTTAATTACTCAAATTAATGGGAGGGTCTAACCAATTACCAACATAATCTAATCAATTCAAATATACAAATTAACTACAGATTTTGGATCTAAACTAACTTAAGTAAATTCTAACTTCTCAAAATAGAAAGCTAAATTAGTAGAAATTACAATTTGCAAACTTTACATAAATGGCCACAACAACTCCATTAAGTCAGTCACTGTCAGGGTTAATTGACACATTAAAAATGAACTGCCCAAAATGCCATTGATTGCTAATACAATATTTTAATGAAATTCAAATTCCTCATATCAAACCTTGGTTTTTAAACCTACATATTCACAGTGACATCGATGCATCATTGAATGGGTTATTGGTTTCGGTTTATTTTCATTTGTTTTTATTTTATGTTTTTTTTTTTGTTTGTTTGTTTCACTTTTACTTAGAAGTTTAGCTTAATGTTTCTAACTAGTTAAAGTATTTTTTTATGGAAGTTGAGATATTTTGTCAATAAACTCATTCGGTTTGTGTTTGTGGTGTATGTATATATAGTGCTTGATGTTTGAGAATGCCAATGTTTTAATAAGACAGTGTTCTGTAGTCTGTTTTATAAAACCACATCTCACCAGGAAGGTATTCATTTGGTTATAAATTCCCTATAATCAGGTGATGCCCGACTTAGTAACTTTGATGAAAATTGCCACCTTTGCTAAAAACTAATTTTGCCTATTTGTAGCCAAACCAAGCATTTTCCTGCACAACATCTTTATTGTAAGTTTACTTAAAGCTGCCAAGTGTTGATTTGTTTTGTTTTGCTGTTTTGTTATTCTATCCTGGTAATACTGAAAATGAGTAAAAAAAAAGTCTTAATGTAATGAGGAAAACTTACGTTCTAAAGAATCCCACATCTGCACATGTGGGAAAATCCTTCTCACTTAAAGGCAGGACATAATCCAGCTCTACTAACACATAACATGAAATAAAATGTCAACATCTAATTAACTTGGGAATCACTCCTACCCCAGCAAAGTATTTATGATTGCAGACATTCCTCAGTCTGGCATCAGCAGTTTTGGGGTTTTATAGAGTACTTCTATTACACATGTATGTCAAGAAAAAAGGTAAGCATGTTGCTTCTGATTAATATTTTTTACTTGAAATCAATTTAATCTGCATGTTTTTTTTTCCCTCCTAATTTATATTAGTAATGTAATGGATAAGACATTACAGATAACATTTCTGCTCAGATGATGGTTTACAACTTGGTGAAAGTACATGCAGTGATATGAAAGTGTTTTTACTGAGTCAATAAATAAAATAACATTTGTAAATATATTTTAGTACACACAATTACATGTTTCGCTTTGGTCAGTCTGTGCAATAGTTTTATATAAATTGTTACAATGTACTTTTTTTTTTAGATTTCTCACCATATGAATAAAAATGGGGGAAAATACTTCAATGCCATCTGATATCCTGGAGATCCAAGGATTTGAAATATCTCCAGAGTACATATACCCTCTGTTTTTTTTACTTTTGTTCGTATACTCCACTCTGCTCTTTTCTAACGTCGGCGTTCTCACACTTATCATAAAGGAAAAGAGTTTGCACCAGCCCATGTACTTCCTCTTCTGTAACCTGTCTGTGAATGACCTGATCGGCAACACAGTCCTGCTGCCTCAGCTTATGGCTCATGTCCTGTCCACCAAACGTTTCATCACCTACAACCAGTGTTTGCTTCAAGCTTTTCACAGCCACACCTTTGGATCTGCATCGCACATGATTCTTGTTATCATGGCTATCGACAGATACGTGGCAATCTGCCACCCTCTGAGGTACGGCTCCATCATGACTAATAAAGCTGTGATCGGCCTGTCTGCCACTGCCTGGGGCGTTTCCTTACTCCTAGTGTCTGTGCTCTTAGGTCTCACAGGCAAGCTGTCCCGCTGCAGATCAGTTATACAAAACGCCTTCTGTGACAATCCATCACTGTTCAAGCTTTCTTGTGAGGACGTGTCCATTAATAACATATACGGACTGTTTTTTACGGTGCTGCTGTTTACTTGTTCAATTGGAGGCATCACTGCTACTTACATCAGAATAGCTCTCATCTGCTGGATGAAGAAAAACAAGGAGATGAATAACCGAGCGCTTCAAACCTGCTCAAGCCACCTCATTCTTTATCTGATTATGCTCTGGTCAGGGTTCCTAACTATTATATTGCATCGATTTCCAGATCATCCAGACTTAAGGAAGATTGCATACATTTTATTTCATGTCGTGCCTGCCAATTTAAATCCTATTATTTATGGACTACAAACAAGGTCATTACGAGATAAGATTACACAAATACTCAAAAGAAAAACTGTAATTTCCATCTAGATGTTTATTTTCCTCTGCATTTTTACATTTTTACTAGGCCAGTACCCTAATTTAATTTAAAGCTTAGAGCTTATAGGATTGTGAGACATTTTCAATCTATGTTTCTCCACACCATTAAAAAATATAACTGATGTACTCTGATGCACTCTGTTGACACTCTAATTGGGAACTCTTCTTTTTTAAATCACTGTCACACACAGTGAATAAGCAACAACTTCCATATTTTGGTCAATTTGGTAAATTACCCTGTACTACTCTGTATTTTGACCTGTCATGAAAATATTCTGTTAATCGGATTTTGATTGTATGAGCAGTCGGCTATGATTTACTACTGTGGCTAAAACTTTGTAGTTAAATGACTTAGTAACCTCTAAAAATGAACTGTTTTAAAAGATGAACTCCATTTCTAGCTAAAATATCAGGAACAGCGAGAAACTCTCCTTTTCTCAAACTGCAGGAACATTCTGATAATTTTGAATGAGTTGTCAGTTAAATTTGAGTTTTCTGCAACGATAGCAACAGCTTAATAAATCATTTCTGACACATTGCTTATTGCTTATGCCTTTTCCTTTTACATCTGAAATCAGCAGATAGTTTTCAGATGTATTGTGCATGTTCTTTTATTTATTATCACAGCAGGATGCTCACTTTTTTTTTTCAAGCCACGTACAGAAGATGCAAAAAAATGTTCTTTTAAACTATAACATAATGTCCGTTATCATTGTTATTCATTCACAACATTGTGTTAACCAGAGACAAAGTCACTAATGACTTTTGTTATTTAAACCATTTTTAGTTACTTTTTGGCTATTATTAAACAATGTTAGATTTAATAAATAAATCATTATGTTCTTTGAGCTTTGACTAAAAATGTAAGTAAATATCAGAAGTACTAAACATGCCATGGGCAAAATGGTATGTATAGAAACTCAAATTGTTATGTTCAAAAACTTAGAACTAACATTGAAATTTAATTGCCTATCCCATGACTGTAACCTCTTATGAGTATTTAAAACAAAACAAACAAAAAAAGGGGGTAAAACAGTTAAACATGGCGCTGATGTCAATTTCCATTAATCGATTTTATCCATCAATGTCCATCAATGAGCCTTGTATTCATTGGGACAGTGACAGCTGGAGCAGATGGGAAAAAACCATGCAATACAATCCTCTAATCCTGCAACTTTAAGATGCATCTCTCCTCTGACACACCTGGATTGAATAGCTCAATTTACTCATCCGTATGCTGTTCAGCTGTGCAGAGGCCTGATAATGACCCATTCATTTCATTCAGGTGTGTTTGAGGTGTGTATGTCATATCTATCACCTGGTTCACCTCTGTCTACTCCTTCTCTCAGCTTGGTTTGCCTCTAATTAGGTCTCTTTGTTTTGTAATTTCTACCAATGTATATAAGCTCATCGGTTTTCTTTGTTCTTCATTTAAATTTCCGTTATATTGACACTTTCTGCTCCTGTCACCCTGATGCCTCTGCTTCTTAAGACAGTGGCGTCATGTAATGTAAGTTTTTCTGTTCATAATTGAATTCATCTTCATCCTACATCTGCCTCCATCCTGCTGCATTTTAGTCTTTTCTAAACGCCAACCATGACAGTTGTATATCACAAAAAAACTCTAAAAATGTTAGGTTTATGAATACCTTTTCAAGGTACTGCCATAATGTCAGACACCACTTTCTTATGTTACATACAAAAATTTCTCTATCTAATTTACCAAAAGAGCTCGGTATTCTATTACATAAGAACAAGAAGAAAATTTACCCGAGGTAAAAACAAATATAGTATATAATTGTTCTTGATTTGCTAACAAAATTTGCCTTTTATGGGCTGCAAATAAAAATATGCTGCACATCTTTCTTAAAGATCTCATTTTATCATTTGGAGGCTTAAAAGCAGTTTTAACAATCAAATAAAAGTAGTGCTGATTAAACGGCTTTGCCCATGATAAGGAGGCTCATAAAAAACACCATTATAAAAAACATCCACATGAAAAAGCGATCTAAAACTTTGGCTACTTTCTTCCACTCCCCCGTCCGTTTCTGTGTGGCCCTCTGATCTCTGTAACAGTTGGCGATGTATTCAATGTTATGCAGCAGTGGCCCATCGTTAGGATAAGTGTTAGAGGAAATCCTGTCATCTTTTCTCTCTACATCACTCACGCCTCCCTTCCTGCATCTCACCGGGTCCCCTGACTCCCCACAGTCCAAGAAGATGCCATTCCTCCAAGTGCTGTTATGGTTTGTAGGATTCCTACTTACTGATCCTAATGGACTTAGGATTTGATCCATTTCTTCTCTCTCCTCTGTGATGACGGATCCAGCTGTTTCCTGACCACTTTTGATGATGCAGTCGTCCTCTCTTCCTGGACACACCTGCCCATTCATGGTGCAGCTAGTGTTGCTTACAAGTGCAGGTTCCTGTCTCTCTGACTCTGCCGACATGCAGTTCTCCCCAACTTCATAGACAAAACACATCCGGGCCATGTACTGCAGAATGACTTTCTTAGCCCACTTGGGAACGGGCTTGGCATCTGGGCCGCAGTGGTGAATGTTCATGATAAAGATGGTCAGGGCAGTGGAGGCTGTGATCATTGTCATCGTTGCAATGTAATATTTTCCTGTAGAGGTTAAAAAGGCAAGAAAAATAAAACATTTGTGCCATGTGTCTGCATGTTGCAATCGTGTAAAGTGGGATTTGAACATACATTATTTTCCTCACCAATTAGTGGCACGTTCTCAGAAGGTGGCATAATTTCTGCAACCAGCAGCTGGAAGACGGTGAGTGCCAGCAGCACAGTGACACCCAAAGAAACCTTTTCCCCAGAATCTGCAGGCAGGTAGAAACCCAGCGGAGCCAGAAAAGAGATCATCACACATGGTATGAGGAGGTTGAAAACATAAAAGGAAGCTCTTCTCTTTAGCTTCAGCGTGTAGGTCACGTCTGGGTATGGGTCTGCACAGCATCCATACTGAACAATATTCTTCTTTGCCGGCATGCCGAGAACTTCCCACTCCACGTTTTCCACCAGGTCAGCCAGGTCGGCGCTCTCCATGGCGTTCAGGATGTCCAGCTGGTTTCCATTGTAGGTCCAGGAGCCGTAAGTGAACCTGCACTGTTGCCCATCGAAGGGGAAAAAGGACACATCCACCTTGCATGAGCTCTTTGTGATAGCAGGGGAATCCCACATCATCTGGCCGTCATGCCGGATCACCACGTTGGTATCCATCGGGCCGGTAAAATGGTTGTCTGCGCTGGAAAAACAGTCAGCTTATCTCAACAAGTAAATTAAGGCAATATTGTTCACAGCCATTCCAGATAGAAAAGACTTGATTCGTAAGACTGTTAACATTTTAAGGGTTTTTGCAAGTTAGAATTTCTCAGTTATTGTTTTTGTCAACATCTGGTCAGTCAGTGTAATTGTGAGGGTTTTTTTTTTTTTTTTGACTAATATGAAACAAGAAACTTGACTATCAACGCCCGTCGACCCTACCTGTTATATAGGACTATATCAGGCCTCCATACATAACTACCAGGAATACGGATGGTGTCGAGTCCATCGTACTCATCTTTATTCCATCTGAGGTGCGCATCAAACCAGACTTGCCTTATCCACAAATAAGCAGTCAAAATTTGATTTCGCTCATCCTGTAAAAAAAAAAGAAAAAAAAGAAAATGGGCATTAAAAGGCATGTTATATAATCCTTTCAAACAGGGAAAAGTTTAGTTGAAATGTATCCTTAATGTTTGTGCTCTGGTGTTTTACCATGTCGATGATTTGTGAGAGTGTAACCTGCAGAGTCACATTCAGGATGTTATTTGTGTCCTCCACAGGCCTCAGCGCACTTGTGTAGTTGGCCATTAGGTCCGTCAGGAGCTTTTGGGCATATTTGGCATATGCACCTTTGCATGCTTGGACAGGAATAAAAACAAACATAGAATTTTGCATTAAGTAAATAATTATATGTCCTGATGATTTTGATTGATGTTAAAACATAAAGGACAGATGTTTGCACAAAGGGAGATTAAACAATGTGCTTCTTTGCATTTCAGGGCATCAACATACACACACGATAGAGTGGAGAAGAAGAGAAACATGACAGAATATGTGATTGCCTGACAGATGGGTGGAGCGGCTGTAAAGTGAATGATAGACTACAATCCCTTTCTGTAAGTGTCTAAAAATAGAGTTTATGAAAATTAGATTTTATGTTAAACAGAAATATTAATAAATGTGAAAATGAATTTAATAGGACAAGGTGTATCTACAGCAGCAACAATGGATGAAAAGTTGCAGCTTTGGCTGCAGAAATGGATTTATGCAGTCCAGATGTCAACCCTAAAACACAGCCCCTCAGCTGGACAGCTTCTCTGTGGGATTACTGCAGCACAATCTCTTAAAAACAGGTCACACGTTTGAGAACTCTGAAAAAGGCTTGAGGATAAGAGGAGGGGATATGAGAATAAATGTATATCGCATGATATTAGAAAGGCAGAAGATAACAATTGAGTTTTTTGTTTATTCTTATGACGGGTGCTTAAGTTAAGCCACAGAGGGAATCAACAATATAGGAATCTGAAATTAAACATTTGAAAGATTCTGGGAGAAACAAACCTTAGTCTTGGTTTTGGACTTGGAGTTGGACTTATTGCCATTTCCTGAGCATAATGGATTGGTTTTTGACGGTGATTGTTGGGGTGGAGGACACAAGAATTGTCTTAAGCAGAAAAGGTTTGAAAACCACAGCTCAAGCTCATCGACACTCAGTTACACTATGAAATATAAAAGATCCCTTAAACTTTGGAGCATTTAAACGCAACTTGTGGAAAAACTGCAAGATGTAACACAACATGGACATATTTACAAAAGGAAATTTAAGTGGTGTCTCTAGCTGAAACAATCATGACACAGAAAATCCTAAAGATCATTGGATTTTCATGATATTTCAAGACTAGGCTTTATTCCTGTGAAGTTCTTGGGGCATTATGTCGCCATGGTACCGCAGTAATACCATGACGTCAAGCAGGTACTTCGCATTGTTATGGCAGACCCAATGAGTGCTCCGAGGTCTATTTTGTAAATACTAAAATAAAAAATAAAAAAATAAATTAAGCGGTATTTTAATTTACAGTATATTTCGCTATAAATAAATAAATATATATATATTTTTTTTTTCTGGGACTCTTTGCTGTTATTGCTAGTGACTTTGCAGCTGTTGCACAGAAATCCCCTCCTTGTACGACAATAAAGGATATTTATATTCTATAAAAACTAAAATAAAAAAAGACAATAAATAAAAAAAATAAAAACAGAAACTTACTTGTCATGGCACTTAAGAATAGAAATGAATGAAGTAAAGTCGGACTTCTCCAACGTAACATTTTCCAAAGCAAAGTATCTGAGGTCCAGGACCCTTTTTGAATTGTTCGGTGCTTAACTAATTTCCTTAATAATAATAATAATAATAATAATAATAATAATAATAATAATAATGCGCTTATTCCTGCAGTAGCGTGTGTAACGTCTGCCTTCCCACGTCAGCGCAAATATTCGGGTTATGCAGATTGTCAGTTTTGATAACTGCACTAGTAGATCCTATGCACGCATGCCATTACATGACGCAGTCTTCCGGAGGCGTGGGCTAATGCGAGCATTGGATTTATAGGGGCTTTAAAAAAGAAGAAAAAAAAAGAAAAATATATATATATGTAAAATACATACTGCACAGCGTAAATCACTTAAACAAGCCGTCACGCAAACGAAGAGCGAACTGATGGACAAAAGAAATCCGTCATTTGATTGTTGTTTTTCAGCACCGCGGAGAGCGTCCAGAAACAAAGCGCTGCTGACGCAGTATTTTACTTCATTATGTTGCCTTTGATCAGTTGCTGTGACATGTTTTCGCATGTTATTAAAACCATTCTATGTATTATTTTGACACATCTTGTTCACTGCTCGCCGTCTCTTCCGGAAACTGCCATTCTCCTCCCACTTATGTTTTTCCTCCCGCTATCTTCCGCGCAAGGATGACAGCAGCATCCTTAGGCCTACTATCATCTGTTAGGAACACCTGGATAAAACTATAAAGATGAACGTTTAGGAACTGAAGATGGCTGGATGACGTCCCAGTCTCTTCTTCCTGGCTCGATGGGATCAGAAATTTGCGGCTCCTTCGCGCACTGACATTGTTATTGTTGAGCCAGTTGTAACTGCAGCGCCTGCTGGGCAGCAGTGAGCTGGGTGGAGGTAATGGTTTTACAGAATGTATCCTTTTTAGAAACATGAATGAATTTATCAGAATAAAGATGACTACTTCATGATTCCAGCCCTAGCCGGGCATGGCATGCACACTGCTAATTATTATAACACTAAATATGTATCATGCATGCATAATTTTCTGTGAATAGAATCATGTTGCCTCTTTTGTGACGATGTGATTATTATTTTTGTTTAATGTTTCCCCACGTGCAGGGTAAAATGATCCAAGGCTCAAACATTTTGGGCTATGAGAGGCCCCTGGTCATCAGGATATCATTCACCACTTGTATTGTTGTTACTGTGTGCCTGCCACTGTTAGGACTCATCACTTGCGTCTCGATATCCTCTCTCTTTCACTTTGAAGATGCTACTGGTACACATTGCCAGGTAATTTGTTATTTTCCAACAGCTTTCTGGAAATGGTTATTTTATTAGAAATTGTTTCTTATTACCAAGAAACCATTATTATTACCATTATCACTAATGGTAATAAGAGATCATTTTCTTTTGTGAAAAGAAAATGACCCTTGCCCTTTTGTCTCAAGGTCAAAGGCGTCTTAATATAAACAGGGTTTTTTTCAGTTGCTTTAGTACTTCTTAAATATTTTTTTTTATTGAAACGTTTCATTTGAGTACATTTAGTCATAAAGAGTACCATGCTTTTTGTTGAATTTATTTCATTAGTTATTTAATTAACCAAAACATCCAGCAACTTTCTGTTACATTTTACACAAATCCTCTACTAAACTTAACAGTGTGCACTGAGTAATTTTTTTCATATGCATTATTTCCCTTATATTAAACCCACCTGTTTTGTTTGCCAGCAGAAATCTCAACCTTATATCATTTGATCAAAACACAGAGAGAAGCAGAGAGTTTACATTAAAAATGAACTCGTGTTCTTTCCACAGCATTTTCACTTATTGAAGGTTGTTGGTTTTTTAATTCAAAATATTTCACTGTGACATTATCCAGTTACAACAAAATGAAACTTTGATTTTATAAGTTTTTCTTAGGTATTTCCTTCTTCTTCTTCTTCTTCTTCGTGTGAGAGGAGGGTGTGTGCGGAAGAGCGGGAGAAGAGTGAAAGAGCGAACGATTGTGTATCTTTTCTATCTTTTTTTCTTACTGTTTATTCACTGGGTGTTTGTGTTACTTGTTTAATTGTAATTTTGTGTTAGTTTGTCACGTTTTAAGGGGGTTTTGTGGGTTCGGGTGTGGCCGGCAGGCCGGCGTCTTAGGACGCCATGGTGGTTGGTGGTGGGTCTTTTTCCACGCTGACGCGGAAGAACGGCATCAAGGTGGGTGCTGGTTCTCCGTGCAGCGTGGAGGAAGTTTGTTTGGCTGTGGGTGAGGTGATCGGGCACAAGTCTATTAAGTCGGCAGCACGGATGAATGGAGCGGTGGTGTTGTTTGTGGAAAAAGTCGAACAAGCTCAACAGCTAGTGGAGGTGGGCGTTTCTGTCGGCGATTTGTTTTTACAAGTCTCGCCACTTACCTTACCTGCAACGAAGGTAACGCTGTCAAACGTCCCTCCATTTATAAGTGACGAGTTTTTGATAAAAGAGTTGTCGAGGCACGGCAAGGTGGTATCACCGCTCAAAAAAGTTCCAACAGGGTGCAAATCGCCTCTACTGAAACATGTTGTCTCCCACAGGAGACAACTGTTTATGATTCTTAATCGTAAAGATGAGGAGCTCA